CCTTGGATCAGCTTGTGGTCGCCGTCGTCGCCTATCCAGTTGCCTTCGTCGTCCTGTCCCAAATTCAGTGGTTCGACATCGTCATCGTCACCCAGATCATCCAGCACAGCGTCTGAGCGATACCTTAGCTCGAAATCTGAGAGTTTTGGTTGTGTCAAATGTCAAAAGTAACGAGTCAAAGAATCCATGGTAGAATGCCAATATAAGAATACCATTGGCGAAGATACAGAACAACGCTGGCGAAGATGCACCAATGGTGTCCACCCAGTGGTTGACAGGATAGGGCTACCTCCACACGCACGGAGTACTAGCATGTAACACAGACAGGACTCCATAGCACTAGCACTACAAGAGGTGACAGTATACAACACACCTGCATCCGAACTCAGAGATTGCCAGTCTTCGCCATTGCCCTTTAGTGCTCGCCTGTCGCATAGGAAGAATGAAGGGGGAATGAAGAGGTTATAGTTGTGCTCAAATACTACAATCGTGTGTGCACTGCACGGCAAATATATGATATGATATGATATGATATGATATGAAATATATATATATATATATATATATATGACAGTCATTCTAATGGAAAGCACGTGGCCATGGCCATAATCGCATCGCGAACACGAGCCTTTCAGGCCCGCCCTATAAGCTACTCATATCATATTGAGACGTAATAAGCTGTATTGCATGATATTCATAACATCCCAAGACAGTCATACCTATTTCGTATACGTTTGCACAAGATTACAGTGAAGCCAATAACCACCAACAACAACACAGCACTCAGCGTGAGTATCAACCCGAGCTTGATCCCGTCCCACACAGGGCTTTGGCCTGCACTCCCATCACCACTACCACCACCCGCACCACTGGAGTCCGGATTTGAATTGGCGTTGGTGTAGGTGTCCGTGTCAGGGTCATAGACGATGTTGCCGGTGTTGGTATGTGGTGTGGGCTCGTGGTGAGTCTTTTCGAGCTCGCTGGTACCTTTGATGCCTGTGAGGTAAGGATGATGTGGTATTCTGGTGTCAGTATATCTGAAAATAACTGCCACACAGGCATATGTGCATATATATTTGATATAAACATGCGTGTATGAATTGGAATTTAACATAAATATACATACATACATACATATA